TGAACTTTTCATCATTTTCTCTTCAAATTGAAGTAAAAAATTTTTTCAAATTTAAATTTTAATTCAGTACTAGCAGATAGGTAATGAAGATATTTATATTCCATTTCAATTCCATTTAATTGATAGCATTCAGTAATAAAATGTCACAGACAATTCATCATTTCATCATAATGCTATAAAATAATTTAGAAAGATAAATAAAAAGAGAAAAAAGAAATAAGTAAAATTTTTAATAAAAATTAATCATTTTTCATGCAAATGTTTTCTGAAATTATCAGATGGCATCTTTATCGATCTTTCCATTACGGTAATACAAATATCTATCTATTAATGGTATCGGACTTAAAAATAAAAAAAAAAAAAAAGAGGAAAATTTTTTCCTTGATAAAAAATCGTGATAAACGAAAAAAAAAAACAATCCTGATCAAAAAAATCTTGATAAACATAATAAAACGTTCTATAGTAACTGAAATAGTGACCTATTTAATATTCAATCACTATTAAATGTCTTATCATGTTTATCATAATCCAATCTTTTATCATAATTAACATCATTCAATGTCTTATTACTAACAATGTGTCAAGCACGAATTTGTTATAATTTGAAAAATCGTTGATAAAATGAATTCATTAAATAAGCAGCATTGACCGATCAATTCAGTATTGCATGCTTGTACGAATCATGCCACAAATACTTAACCGGATATATGAGATTCATGAATTTTACCGGATACATTTAGATCTTGATCGATTTGTTGCTATCAACTTCAATTCATCGATAATTATCTTTTCCATTTTCATTTTTATATTTGCATATGCAAAATCCTAATACAAGTAATTATTATTGCAGAAGTTCAATGTCTTTAATTATGGCTTAATTAAGAAGATATTTGCATTAGTTCATCTATAACTTTATGTTATTTAGCACTATTCATGCCTATATAAGCCGGTTTAATTTAAATGGTCGAATTATTAGAGTATTAATAATTTGAACTTTGAGCTAACAATATTGTCACCATTCCTCATTATTGTCACCATTCCTTATTATTCCTCAACTTTGACCGTAATCAAATTAACTATTTATTTTATTGTAAACATTATATTGCAAATTAATGATACTTTGACAACATATTGAAATTTTCAAAGCTCAATTAATAATATTTCCTGTTTGTATCATTTACTTGAAATCTATCTATCTATCTATCTATCTATCTATCTATCTATCTAT